CTTGTGGAACTTACCCAATAGTTGGTCTTCTGCCAGAGTATTCACCATGATTTCCAGCTTCGGGCATCGTAGTCTGCATCATCAGCAAGAGGCGCAATCCTTAGCATAGATTTACAACGTATCAAAGTGAAAAGTGAGGGCAATTCCCTTATCTAATTTTCTGTTCAACATTTGTGAACTCACTCCTAGCCCCTATTTTTTGTCCTGGCCTCTTTTTCGCTTGATCCAATTTTATATGGCCCATTTACCTATACACACCATTCTGTGTTCTCGTTTCCTCCAATTTCGCATGAGAATGTGTTGCTTCAAGTAGATTTAGTGAAGCATAATAACCTTCACAACCGGTTTAATATGCCGTTTGCAGGGCTTCTTTAGTTTCATTTTTCCGACACATTTTGTTTCGATAATTTTTTGGCCTAAGCTTTTTTATTCATAATTTCGATGTTGTTGGATGAGGTCGTAGAACAGGTTTCTTTCTGGCCACCTTCCACCGCAGGCCACTTTACAGGCTTTGCAGTACTGTGGACCTAAAGACAATTAATCCAGGAGCAGGTTAACTCCTTAGAGGTCCATATGTGGTGACTGATGAGTCATGCCAATAAATAAAGTTTGTTTTATGGCTATAAGGAGCCTGATTGTTGTCTAAATTTGACCTTTGTTTCCATTGAACTCCTGGCGATTCTTGATTCCCTCATAGAATTTTTATCTGCTATGATAGCGGCTTTTTAGAATACGTGGTGAAGTCAAACTAATGGAAAAATTTAAGCCTTTTTCTTAATTGAGTCGCTACCAGTTTACTGCAAATACCTCTCGAAAATAATATACATCTACATTTACTGGGTTCTGTCTTTCCTCAAATAATAAGAGCCATGGACCGTATAAGTTAATTCTACTGTGTACCTTGCAGAGGTATCACCATTTCTTCACTTTGGGTCCAATTGAAATACAACGGCATGGTCATGCATGCATAAAAAGGCGAGTAAAGCTCTGCAAAATTTATGACATTCATATACTTCTGGATACTGGTTTTTAATGCTAACCAATCAAGTTTCATATATATTACTGGCAATAAATGTTTCAAGAATTACCTGGAATCTCAAATATTTTAATTTTTCCTCGTTTTTCGCATCTAGGTCGTTCTTTCAGGGCGACCTACAGGAACGCATTTCTAGCATAGTAGTCATGATAAGCCTTCAGAGATATTTGGACTAGGTGCATTCAAACTAAGTCAGCTTGACGACAAAACCAAGTTGCTAAAACGAGGTTATACCACTTTTTTCCAGCTTTTCATTTAAATTCAGCATTTCCATAATAAATTATTTGTTTAATTCATTATTGAGTTATTTATTATTTTATTTTTGAATAATGTGAATGAAATGTGAACCAATGTTAAGTTATTTTGCTTGCATCAACCAGCGAAACAGCAGATCACATTGTGACCGCACATCTACGTCGAGTAGAACGTCAGCAGGCCCGATTAGCATCCGATGTGAAAGAAGACACTGCATTGGAAACTGAAAACGAGGCAGATGACACCAGCTTACAACGTCTGCTTGTAGTGGCTCAGGAGATCGCGGCAAGCACGACTCAATTGGTGGTGGCCAGTCGGGCTCAAGTTTCCGACCGTAGCTCGTTTGGTCTAGCCAAGCTGCTAGAGGCAGGCAAAGATGTAGGAAAGACGATTAACCATTTGATTTCGGCAGTAAAACAGGTCATGGACAGACGCGAGAAAGCCGACGGTAATTAACACATCTTCTATCCAGGCCTCTTTATTGTTGTTTTTAATTTTTAGTTAATATAAGTTGGGGTTATACCCCTACACTCGTTAAAACCAGGTTTAAATATAATTGCCTAGGAGTTATTATTGTTTATTTGTGTGAATTACTCCCGTTGAATCTGTGCTGAGTCTTCATCTGTCTTGTCATGACCGTCAGGTAGTGTAAAACTATGCTGTTTTTATCGAAGGTATGAAGACCAAGATGGTGTTGCCTTTTGTGTGGTCGCAGCCTCCTTTCGTTGTATAGAGGTTGTTTGACCTTGTTTTCGCAACTCGGTCATTTTGGTACGAAGACTTAGAGTAACGCACCTTGTCCGGAGTCCATTGTATGCATCATCATTTCCAAAGTTGAACCGTGGACATGGTACATTCCCAAACGTTCCGCCGGCATCGTAATCGGCATCGTCAGTGAGTATCGCCATTCTTAGCACCACACAACAACTCGTCAAAGAGACAGGTGAAGCCGATCCTTTGACCAGACTTGTGCTCAACAATTAAGGTATCTCCCCTTCTGCCCTCGGTTATTTGCATTTCCGGTTGCATCCTATCCTGCCTTCACTATTACAATTGTTTACCGTGTTTACTTAGATGGTGTGGGTTGCTCCTTTGAGCAACATGACATCTTCACACTCCAGCTCTCGTTCTCACCCCCCTTCATACTTGTGCAGAGAGTGTTGATCGGAGTCTAGGAAAGAGGACTGCACAATAATAAAGCAGACTCTGATCAACATTCCCTGCACAAGGATGAAGGGGGGGTGGGAACGAGAGTTGGAGTGTGAAGATGTCATGTCACTCAAAGGAGCACACCACACAATCTAAATAAACACGGTAAACAATTGTAATAGTGAAGGCATGATAGGATGCAACCGGAAATGCGAATAAACCAGGCCAGAAGGGGAGATACCACAATTGTTGAGCACAAGTCTGGTCAAAGGATCGGCTTCACTTGTCTCTTTGAC